GAAAAGGGAAATTGCATGGAAATGAAGGGAGATCCTCATTGCTATACAAAATTACATATAAGAGGTTGTGAGGGGAATGGGAAAATAAATAAGGAGAGAAATGAATTACAGTAGATGGGGTAGAGAGAGAAGATGTGAGGGGAGGGGAGGGGGGATAGTAGGGAATAGGAAAGGTAGCAGAATACAACAATTACTAATAAGGCATTATGTAAAATTGTGGATGTGTAACCTATATGATTCTGCAATCTGCATTTGGGGTAAAATTGGGAGTTCATAACCCACTTCAATCTAATGTACGAAATATGATATGTCAAGAGCTTTGTAATGTTGTGAACAACCAATAAAAAAAAAGAACAAATATAGATTCAAGTCAAGTTAAAAAAAAAACACATACACACATTAAACACACATACACAAAGTGAAACAAAGGCTAAATAAATGACTCACCTTGAACTTGTTCATTTTCTGCTGCTCTTGGGAAAGGGTAGAAACTATAAAGCCCGAGCAGGGAAAGTTGTAAGAGAAAAGTCATAAGAGACCATATGTTACAGCTCCAGGAATCTCCTGTGGGAAATTTCCATACAATATTTTAGTAAAATACAAACCCCTGGAAAAATGTCCCTTTGACCCATGAGAAGGAATAGGAAGTACCATGATGAAGTAGTACCCACCTGTCCATCGATGACTCTGACATAATCTTGATGAACCTGGGATATTTTTGAGTGAATCTAAACATTTCTTTCTTATTGGTTGCTTTGAAAATTATGTGTATGTTCACTGAATAACACAAAAGAATTGAAAACATAAATAATAAATAACAGATTAAATACGATGTATAATATATCCAAATATGGATACCTATGTCTAGCATTACAGATGATGAATTGATATATTTATTGATATATAAAAGGTGTTTAGTTTACATTCATAACAATTTTTCCTGTTAATATTATAAATCCCACAATTCTAAGGTTATTTCAGCGTTTTCAAAAATGAGATAGTTCTTCTCTTTAAATTAGTTTCTTTTGATATAGTGAATCTGGAGACTTCAGTTCTACCTTAGGCTTACTTTCAATGCTGCTACCTTTAATATAAGGAAAAATCAGGTAATCTTGAACAACCTCTCATGTGATTTTTAAAGTCTTTACCCAGGACCACAAATCTAGATAGTGCCCTGGATTTCACTGACCTCTCAAATTTAGGCTGGGTCTAGGGTAAAATTTAGTTCAGTCTTGATAAACTGACATGGCCCTTAATCTGCTGACACATAAATCTAGCTTCTAAAATAGCACTTTGGCTCCAAAATTCCCAGACACTTCATAGGTGTAGCAAAGACAACAGATGCCACAATCCTGTGGTCCTTTTCATAAGCAGCAGAAACAACTTCCAGCCACTCTGGGCTTAAAAGATGATAATTATAAGCCCAGATACCACCAGCCATCAGAAGCATTATCACATCACCTACATAATAAAAAGCATGGAAGAATCACAGTTGTTTTTTTTTTTTTTTTTAAAGTCTGTCTCTACCATTTCCCCTCTAGAAATTAGCCTTTAGCCTTGATACAATTTCCAACTTCTTAGAGAAATTTAAGATTGAAAGCTCAAACTCTGGTTTCAATTTATGCGCTTGCTGAGAACAATCAGGTTGGAGGATGTAGGAAGGGTCTTAATTGACTTTTTGAGCCAAGGGTTCTAAAGGAATCCCAAGAATTTTTGGAAATAGAACACTACATGGAGAGATGATGTTCAATACACTTCACAACTATACTCTGGTGGTGCTTAAGCACAACTGCTTGCTTAAATACAAACTAAGACTGGATTTTAATGTAGGAAAGAGCATTAACTACGGAGTAAAAACAGTGAGAGTTTAAATCCTACCTAATTCCGAGTAAACCAATTTATATCTCTGAACCTGTAATACTATAATTTCTTAAAACGGAGGTGGTTACTGCCAATGATTAAAGGAGCCAATAATGAAAACAACAGCATGCCTTGTAATAAAAGCAGCTCACCTTTATTAATTCCTTATTATTTACATCTACTGCCTTATTCAGGACAGCAAACGACCCTCAAGGGTGCTTTCATCATCATTTTACAGATGACGGAATCACCCTGAGATCAGCTCGCCCATCCAGCAGCACACCCTGGATCTGGGCCAAGCCTGGCTACAGCCAGCGTCGCAGACGCGCTCGGACGCAGCGGGTCCAGCTCCACGTTACCCAGAGCCGCTCCCTCAGGGCGGCCCGGCCTGCTTTCCCCGCAGAGTGGGCCCTCCTGGGTTGCCCCTCACAGGTCGCTACAACAACTTTAGGAGAAGGTCGGCTGTGCAAAAGGCCGGCTTCCCTGCCAAGTCCCTCCCGCAGGCCCTGTAGGCTCTCGGCGCAGGCCCCGGCCTCCAGATTTTGACCCGGCTGTCACAAAGTCGAGCTTCCCCGCTCCCAACCCGCCCACAGAGGCCTCTGACACACCTGCAAGGGATCTGTCTCTGATCCCAGGCCACTCTGAGCCCCGGCCCCGCCCTCAGCTCCGCTGCGGGGACCTGGTAGCGCCGGAGTCTTCAACCCCCTGCGGCGTGAGACAAAGCCGCCCAGACAGAAAGGAAAGGGCATTGCACATGCGCAGAGCGCACTCTGCGGGAAGCCTCCGCTTTGACACGAATTTGGATGAAGTTAAGCGATTTGGCGCCCTCTAGTGATCTGATGATTCCTGCTGGGCTTTTCTGGAGACTTGAGCTTTTGGTTATTCATGGAGTTGAGTGGTTAAAATTGGCTTAAAGGCAGAAAACCACCCGAAGTGATATTGATGGACAACTTAGGTAACGTGGTTGGGACTCAGTACTATAGTGATGTACGACAGAAGAAATAAGGACAGGTATAAAGGAAGCATATGGGAAAGAAAAGCAATTGTAGCTTTAAATCTAAAAACTCCATGGTCACCCACACTTTCATTTCTTCAGGCCTGAGTTCGTAAAAGTCCAATAAATCTTAGTCCAGATAATTAATGCCTTTATATTTCTTTATTTAACAAAAATGTATTTTCAGACCGAAGCCTAGAGAAATTGCCAAGTGCTATTGACTAGATACGACAACCTGAAATTCTGAAGAGTCTCAAAATAATTGAGCTCATTAAGCTGACACAGGATAGTGGAGAGCTGAAGCTCCAAACTTCAGTTCTTATATCCCAACTTAATAAAAGCTAAAGTCAGACATGAAAATTCAAGAGAATTTAGTTTTAAAAAAAGATTCAAGCAAAGAACGCTTTCTAGAGAGGGTTGCCTGTGGGCAGAGAAGGGCAAAGGAAACAATGCTGCTTCCAAATTTATTGCTGTCTTATGTTTACCTTGAGAACTGTGGTCTACCTTCTGTGGTCTGCGCTAATCAGATGTTTACTCCCTCTTCACATAGATTGCAGGAGTTTGGGGCCCTAGTTGGTCATCTCTCTCTGTCTTGGAGACTATAATATTGGAGGAGGGGGAGCTTCTTCTGCAATTCAATTGTATGTTAATGAGGGTGCTGGGGTCATGACCTGGCAGACTTCATCTTAGTGTGCCTGTGGTATTAATGAAACTTCTTAACTACATTGAGAAACCTATGGCCATCAATATTAATTTTACAGTGACCTTGGTAGACCCTGTCAGGAGTTAGCCCCACTGATCTTTCCTTCATAGTGTATTTCTTAGTTGTCTTTGTTTCCTTGTGTTTATTCTCAGGTTAGTAACCTGCAATAGATGCAATTCTAACATAATCTACAGTCCATGTTCAAATTTTGCTCACTGTCTCAATTAAGACTTAAGTAATACTTTGTTGATTCAATATCTACAATCATAAATGTTTATGTACTTAATAGGACAGCTTAAAAATATATAGTTTTATACATTGCTTACAAATTTATTTTTTAAGATCTCATACTCCCTTCTCAGTATTTTGTATGCCAATAGAAAATCAGCAAGTACATAAAAATTTTAACATCACTAATGTGACTAATGTTTATAAAGTACATTTACTCTCCAAAAGAAAAATATACATTCTGTTCAAGTGCACACGCAAAATTTACCAAAAGACACTATATAATACATCATAAATTTAAAAGGATTCAAGTCATTCAAAACACATTATTTGACCATATTGTAATTAAATTGTAAGTTAATATCTATATGTATCTGGAAAATATCCAAACATTTGGAAAATAAATAATCTAAATATACCATGTGTTAAAGTAGAAATCAAAGGGGAAATTAGAAGCTAATTAGGACCGAATTAAAATAAAAACAGTCCAAATTTGTATGTTGTTACTATGTAACTGCTGAATGAAAGGAACTTTTTTTTAAAGAAAAAAATCTCTAATGAATGACCTCAGCTTCTACCTGAAGAAACTAGAAATATAAAACCAACTATAACTGAAAGTAAGCTGAAGAAGGGAAATAAGAGACATCAGAGTGGGGAATCAAAGATGATGAAGTAGAGGAAGACTGCATTTTCCAGTTTGCCCCATGGCTAGAAGCAAGAGTTCTCAATGAGATTGGTGACAGAATTGTAATTCAACATTGGATCATCAGAAACTCAAAGAGATGCCGAAATTCTATTACCACACAAGCATCTATAAAATTCAGAGGATCTTTAGAGACTACTGTGAAAACTTATATGCCAATATAATAGAAAGTCTTGAAGCAATGGAAAGATTTTCTAGATACATACCACCTAGTAAAATTAAACCAAGAAGATATATAAAACCTGAAGAGACCAATAGCAAGTAATGAGATTGAATGGGTAATAAAAACTGATGTTTGAACAAAGAAAAACCCAGGAACAGAAGATGTATTCCAGGCAAATGCAGGTGAAAGGTCAGAGGGCCCCTTTCCTAAAATAGCACCCACTCATCAGTCAAAGGCTCCATTGTAGAAATAGTAGGTCAAAATTCCTGGGACCCTGATAGTCCTAGCCACACTATACTTGTAGGATAGAAGTTTAAATCCCATGTGTGGCATACAAAGAATACTAAAGAGTTCCATCCTCGACCAGCAGTCTGTGTGCAAATAGTGGTGTAACTGTGACAAAATTAGGCCACTGTTCCTATCTCTAGCTCCAGAGCTGTAGCATAGTTTTTTCCCAGAGGGAGAAGCAAGTTATGAGAGAGAGAGAGAGAGAGAGAGAGAGAGAGAGAGAGAGAGAGAGAGAGAGAGCGCGCACAAGCGTGAGCGAGTGTGCTATGAAGCTGTCTCCATGGGAATTGACTATGAAAGATAATATGGAAAGTGAAACAACAGAGATTTGGGGTATTGACAATGAAGAAGGCTGGTAGTTCCATGAGGGAAACAAGTTATACCAGAAGTTTACCAGAATAAACTAGACAAAAACATTCTAGAAAGAATAGTCCTGGTATTAGGGGTCAGATAGATGAAAATGGTAGAACACAAAGTTAAGGAGAATAATTCTATATAATGGACCCACTGTTCTGACCTCCACATACTTTTTTTTGCCAAAGAGCAATTTGCCTGCAGCCTAGCCAGGCCTAAGTGGACAGGATATGTCACAATCCTCAGCAAACTGAGGGAGGGGCAAAAGTCAGGTAATCAGTGTAGGTAATTAAGGATGATGGTTGAGAGAGGATGAAGACTGGTTAACAAAGAACAATGGGTTGATAATGGTCAACCTCTGGATTGTGCTCCTAGGCACTCTGGGTTGCTAACAATTAACCTCCATGCTTCTGTTCCTTCCTGTTCTGAGGTTCTGTAAAAAAGCAAGTCGCACCCCCTTTCATGGACTCTTGGCTCTGAGGTTCCATTTCTCTTCGAAAACTCTGTCCCTATCACTTTCTTAGTAAAACTTTCTCTCTATGCTTGCCTCAGCATCTCTTGTGTTTATTCTTCAACACTGGGGAATAAGAACCTGTTCCCCATCTGCAATGGACTGGTATCACTGGAATCAGAATCTGAAAACCTGGTCTCAAAGACTATTTTTGAAAAGCAGACTGAACTTAATTGGATCATTGTAGTGTAATTTATATTCCAGATCATTGTGTAAAACAATAACTATCAGCTTGAAATTAGTAGTGACTAACCAAAAGGGACAGTTTTATAAAGAGATTAGGGAAAAAGGGAGTTTTGCTGGGAACATTGCTATTCGTGGCTCACTGTGAAAATGCCCAGGGCTTCACCATTCTGAGGAACTAAATCAGAGGCTGCACTTTGCAAGGGAATTAGACTTCATTACAATAGCCCAGACAAGTCAAAATCCTCAAGCAGGCAAACACAATGCCTGGTTTGTGTGTGTGTGTGTGTGTGTGTGTGTGTGTGTGTGTGTGTGTGTGTATGTGGCAGGGGGATCAATAGACACATTGTCATAATACATAGTCTACAATATTCATTTTTAAACAAAAGCAAATTATGAGATACAAAGAAGTAGGAATGTGTGACCATACACAAAGAAAATTCAGGTAACAGTGCCCACAAGAAGAAAATGTAGCCCCAACTCTCCATCATGTTGGCTTAGGAACCAATTTCCTCAACAAGACTCCTAAAGTGCAAGAAATAAAATCAAGAATCAATAAATATGATAGTATCAAACTAAAAAGCTTCTTCACAGCAAAGGAAACAATTAAGAATGTGAACAGAGAGCCTACAGCATAGGAGAAATTTTTTTGACACCTGCACCTCAGATATGGCATTAATCTCCAGAATATATAATGAATTCAATCTTAACACCTACCCCCACCCCCCAAAAAATCCCAATCAATAAATGGGCAAAGGAACTGAACAAGTACTTCACAGAAGAAGAAATACAAATGGTCAACAAATTTATTAAGAAATGTTCAACATCCCTAGCAATTACAGAAATGCAAATTTAAAAACTACACTGAAATTCCATCTTACTCCAGTCAGAATGGCAATTATCAAGAATGCAAGCAATAAGTGTTGAGGACGTGGGGGAACAGGTATACTCATACATTGCTGGTGGGACTGCAAATTAGTGCCACCACTCCGGAAAGCGGTATGGAGATTCCTCAGAAAACTTGGCAGGAATTACCAATTGACTCAGTTATCCCATCCCTCAGTATATACCCAGCACACTACAGTGAAGTAGCCACATCAATGTTTATAGCAGCTCAATTTTACAATAGCTATGCTATGAAAAAAACCTAGGTGCCCTTCAACAGAAAATGGATAAAGAAAATGTGGTACATATACACACAATGGAGTATTACTCAGCTATAAAGAAGAATGAAATTATGGCATTTGCCAATAAATGTTTGAAACTAGAGACTATCATGCTACATGAATAAGCCAGTCTCCAGAAAAAAAGGCTGAATGTTCTTTCTGATATATGGATGCTAACACACAATAAGGGCATGGCAGGGAGAATAGAAGTTCATTGGATTAGACAAAGGGGAATGAAGGAAGGGAATGGGAATGGGAATAGGAAAAACAATAGAATGAATCACTCATAACTTTCCTATCTTCATATATGAACACATGATTAGTGTAACTCTACATCTTGTTCAACCACAAGAATGGGATCCTAATTAGAATAAGTTATATTCCATGTATGTATAACATGTCAAATACATTCTACTGTCATGATGTATATCTGTAAAGAAGAAATAAAAAAAGAAAATTTGGATAACAGAAATT